CCGGATTGATTTTGTCTTCAGGAGTTCCGCGGTGGCCCAATTCCAATGTGGGTTACAAGTTTATAGACTTTCTTCTTAGGTCTGGAATCTTCTAAGAATGATTTTTGCCTCAGGAACTTGGGTGTTGGACTGACCTGAGATCCTGGCCATGGCTGTGCCACGCAGGGATGCAAAGGCAGATGGGGTGGGAAGAAGCCCCAAGATTTCCCAGGGAGTGGATTGAGTAGCTGGGTTGTACTGGATGCAAAGGATCAGGGACAGGAAAGGTAAGCCTCGGAGCCCCAGAAAGAGGCTTTCAGCCCCAGAAAAAGGCTGGCGGGTGTTGCAGGACCAGGGAAGTAGAGGGAGGTGAGGGCGGGGCGGTTCCAGAGGCAGTGCTCCTGGGGTCCAAGGAAGGCACCCAGCTGGCCTGGGTGAAAAGGATCAGGAAGCAGCACCGGTTCCCCAGGTGTCTGGGGACCCAAGACCAGGAATGGCGCAAGGCCCAAACCAGGAGCAGAGAATAGCGGGGGAAATGGAAGGGCGAATGAGGCCGGGGGAGTCAAGTCGTGGAGGGCTCCGCGATAGACCCACCCCAAGAGGTCTGAGGATAGGAGAGCAGGCCAGGGGAGTTAGCCGGTGGTGCAGGTCCAGGGAAGCAGAGTAAGAATTACTTTTGATAATGAACCAGAGAGACAAGCACCAAGGAAAAAAAGATTTGACAGATAGAAGGAAAGAAACCCTGACCAGGTCATTTCTTTCGATGTTGATAATGAAGAAAATGCTTTTGATTTAAAAATTAGGGCAACAAATGGATTCAGTTGGTGTCTAATAAGAAATAGAAAGTTTAGACCTAAGACAGGTATGGTGATGTATCCTGCCATCCCATCACTCTGTAGGCTGAAGCGGGAGGATCATGAATTTGAAACCAAGGGTACACAAGGAGTTCTTATAAAAAAATCAATAAAAAAGGTAAGCCTACCCAAGGGACATCCTGCAAAAGCTCAGGGAAGAAGTTCTTCCCAGCTAACATCTCCAGATGATCTGAAGTCCTATCAAGTAATACCAGTGACTCTCACCAGTGCCAAGGTTTTCTTGACACACAGTTATATCTAGATAATTTTTTTTTCACAAAACATAATATAGATTTATGTATGGCAAGGTATTCTACACAAGACAAAATCATGAAGTGTTCAGATAAAGGAAAAGCTCACATTTAAACTGTTAAAACTGGAGGCTGAAAAATGACGTGACACATGTCAGAAATATATAATCTGGTACTGAGATTAACTTCATGTTGCCTGGAGTGATACAGAAAGCTAATTGGACATTCCAGATGATGTCAAATGTTTTTATGCACGTAGAAATTTGTCAAATCCTTTTGAAAGGAAGGCCAAACAGGCTGACTGTAGAATAATTGCAAAAGGGACAATTTATACAGATCTGAATGAATTTTGGAATATAGTTCATTTTCTGATAGGAAATATAAGTCATATATTCAACAGTCTAAGAAAACAAGAACTCAGGAGGGCAGAACAATAATACAAGCAAAACCTTCTTTTAGGAAAAAGTTGGTTCGGTTATAGAAAGTAACACAAATAGGGCACAGATGGCAGGATTGCAACAGAACCAGCTACCTGAAACCAGAAGTGCAGTGAGAGAATTAAGCAGGACGACGTGCAGAGGCAGCACCTTTCTTCTACCAAAGGAACTTGATCAATGAATGTTTGCTGCTGGACTTTTCAGAGTTCAAAGTTCTGTTTAATCATGCTCTGGCTTTTCTATGTCTTCTGAAAGTCTTTCTCAAAGACAGTATGTCTGAGTGTCACCAAAGCCATGCCTTAGACCTGGCTTTGGTAGGGTTTTTAAGGCAAACTTCTTGAGAGGTGAACATGCTGACAAGGACTTTATTTTCAAGTATTACTGAAAGCAGGGCCAATATGATAGAAGATGCTCAGTGTGCTCAAGATTTAATTGAAATAAACCATGACAAAAAGAAGATACATTTTGAAATGGATTGTTTACACAATGAAAGAATGAGTTGGCTATTTCTAGCTGACAGAGTAGCAAATTATATCAGTGCTGACAAAATAATTTTCAGATGCTGTGGAAGGAACATCCTGGAACTAAATTATTCAATTATTCAATGAAATAAATTATTCAAAATGCAAGGTGTTTTGATAAGTAGCCCTAAAAATATGTGAATATATACCAGTACAAATTAACATTATATAAGAGGAAACTAAAATTCTAAAATTTAAATGTCAAGCTACAGAGCACCCCCTAATCCCAACCCTTTTTGGTTCACTCTAAACTGTAGTAATCCATTCTTTCAGGAGGAAAGGAAACATGTCAAACATCCCAGACACTTTCCTTTGTCATAACCTGGCAACCTTTCACCTTTAAGGCCCTCAGTGGATAACAAGTGGAACATTTTTTATTTTAAAAATACATCCCAGGGACCAGTAAGATAGCTTGAGTGGGCAAAAGTGCTTGCTGTACAACCCTGACCATCTGAGTATAATATCTATAACCCAAGTTGAAAAAGGCCCAATGTGGTGACTCAGGTCTGCAGTCCTAGAACACCTAGAGATGGGAGGCAGAGATCAGAAAATCGACCAGAAACTCTGGTGTGCAGCACAGTGACAGAAACGACGAGAGACCTTGCCTCAAAAATAAGGAGGAAGGAGTGCTCACTCCCCAAAAGTTGTCCTCTGACCTCCACATGTATATATACAAACACACTAAGTAAATAAAAATAAATCTTAATAAATTATATCCAAATATGCTCCCTATGTTACCAGCACTGTCATATGATATTAGATGAGTGATAATTTGGAGAATATGTTCACTTCTACTCAATCTACTTACCTATCATAGAATATTTTCATATTTAGTGTTCATTAAAGTGTATTTTAGATAAGATACTGTCCCACTAAAATTTCTCCTTCCCACTCTCTGTTTGACCTGCCCTCACTCTCCTCAGGATCTCTTGCTCTGGGTGCTATTAGACAAACCATATAATATATTTTTATTTGAATTTTTCCTTTTAATCTTGGATGGGGGGAAATCGAGTAACTTACAAAGGCGGACACTCAACGCTTCACCAGACGGTATCAAAAGCCCCTCCTTCCATGGCTAACTCTAAGCGGTCAATTTTCCGCAGCAGGCCCCACCCCTCGGAGGAACCAGGCCTTTTGGGGACGTAGATACTCTTAGACAAGGGAAGTGAAATAGTTGTACAGGAACCATCAGCTATGAAAAAATACCCTGCCTTGCCCATCTTATTTAAAATGTATAGGCTGAAGCGGATACACTTACCTGGAGCTCAAAAGCATCTTCATTTTAGTTGAGAAGTTTTTTTAAACTTTGATAGAAAAAAGGGGAGACAGAAACATTCAGATTGGCATTTTGCAGACTAAATCTTGTGAAACCACGGAAAAATAAACATCTAGTCTTTTAGGATAATTCTACCATGACTTCAGATTAGACCTGTGTAGCAACTCTAAAATTATGTGGTTTTCTTCTTTTTTTTTCCAGGTTGTCTAGGTGCGTTCCGAGCTGGTCTCTTCTCTGCTGCACGTCAGTCAATTAGCATTTATCCTGACCTCAGGAGTTGTGTCAATGGTAAGACCTCTATTGTTTATTAAAAATAAACAAAATATAAACCTTGTAAGGAAAATATACCATGTTGAGATAAACCAACTTTCTTCTTTTGTCTTTTTGAGACAGGGTCTCCCTGTAGCCCCAACTGTCCTGGAACTCACTATGTAGATCAGGCTGGCCTTGAACTCACAGAGATCCTCCTGCCTCTGCCCCCCGAGTGCTGGGATCAAAGGCCTGCACCACCATGAGGGGGGATGAACTAATATTTTAAAAAATCAGTAAGTGAGCCGTTGAAGGGTGATAGGCCCAGCAAAGACATATTTTCAAACTACATATGAAAGCATATTTTTCAGTTGTAAATGCTGTATTACTTAAAATGAATCTTTCCCTTAATGTTTAAGCAGAGCAGTGTCCATCAGTAGTAGGCCTCAAGTCCTGCTGAAGTCAGAAATGTTATTTCTAACATTTATTTTGGCTGTGGTTTCAGGTTTCATAGGTCAAAGGAGAGCCATGCTTATTATTATTATTATTTTTTCGAACCAGTAATGTAATTGTGAAAAATAGGTGAATCAAAGTAGCTTTTATTGTCTGGATTTATACAGGGTTTGCTAGGAAGACAGTGATTGCAGGCCTCAATTCCTTTCATTAACTCATCACAGTTTTTTGCTACTCATTTGAAAACCATTATTTCATGTATTTTAACAAGAGTTCTACTTATTTAAGACAATAAGCTAGAAGCAGGTCTCTTTTACTCCATCTTAATCCAAATTGGAATCATTGAATTCTTTTGTTGTCATGTTGAGAGTAGTTTGTTTTTTCTGCCTGCCTCATGGAACTGTTAGTAGAATCAAACAAAGTGAAGTATTTGAAAAGAAAACTGCATTACAATTATAAAACATGTATATATACTTAGAATATAAAAGTAATGTCATCAAATAACACGGCTATAAAAATAACTGTAAGGAGTCATTGAGTGGACTTGCTTTCTCTTTTTCTTTTTACTTTTCTGTTTTGTTTTTTGAGACAGGGTCTCAATATGTAGCCCTGGCTGGTCTGGAACATGCTATGTAAACCAGGCTGGCCTTCAACTTAGAGATCAGCCTGCCTCTGCCTCCTGAGTGCTGGGGTTAAAGGTGTGTACCACCATACCCAGCTTTTTTTCTTTTCCTTTTTTGTTTTTGTTTCTTAGTTTGAGATAGAGTCTTTTATAGCCCAGACTGCCCCTAAACTAGAAATTTAAGCAAAGAAGACCTTGAATTTTGATCTTCTGTCTATCCTACTTCCTGAGTGCTGAAATTACAGGCGTTTTATTATAGTAGGTTTATACAATGCTCGGGATCAAACCAGGGCTTTGTGCATGCTAGGTAAGCACTCTCTATATCCCCAACCATGGACTCAGTTTTTAATGAGAGATGAAAGAGATGTATTTTCACTGGTTATAGCTTCATATAGCAGATTCTGTCAATAGTTTGCAGTTTTACTTCATGATTTCTGCCATTCCTTTTTCTTGGCTAAGAATTAAATAAAGTCTGTTTCCTTCAGCCATTCCAGACCAATGTAACCCTCTGCCATGCAATGAAGATGGGTACCTGATCTGCAAAGACGGCCAAGCTGCCTTCACCTGCATCTGCAAACCAGGCTGGCAAGGACAGAGGTGTGAATTTGGTATGTATAATAAATCCATCAAGCTTATCCAGAATGGCCAGAAGACAAGTTCTCTGAAGGTGATATTACTTTAAAAACAACTTATTTCCCCTTTTTAGATATAAATGAATGCAAAGATCCCTCAAATTTAAATGGAGGTTGCAGCCAGATTTGTGATAATACTCCTGGAAGTTACCACTGCTCCTGTGGAATTGGTTTTGTTATCCTTCCAAATAAAAAAGACTGTAAAGGTAAGATCATGGAAGCAGAATACAAATGCATTCACTCTGAAGGAACAAAATCCAGTTAGAGGAATTTCTCTAGGAAATTATTGAAAAACACTCTGGTCAGAGGCACTAGCAGGAAATATGCAGCTCCGGCTGTCTTAAAGCCTTGTAATGCCATGGGAGTGTGTTTTCTTTCATGCTAATGATAACAAGAGTATTTTGTTTTCTTCCTGTGTGTGCACAAGCATGAGTGCGCCCTTCAAGAAACAATTTAATAAGTCAAAATAAAAAAGCATTTCCTAATAGAGGCTTCAGTGCTACTGACTTGGCAAAAACATTGTTTATCCTGTTTCCAGACACCAGCTAATATCATTTCTACTGTTGCAGTGAGATGAACTACATAGAGAAATCTACCGTGACTCTTAATAACCTCTTCTTTTATGTATCTTTCCTTTCAGAAATCTTTCTGATTTCTAATATAATCTTTCATTTTGCACCTCATTTCATTTCAAGAAAGAAAGAATATCTGCTTTTCTTTCTCTGTATATATTGAATATTGCATCATTGGCCATAAGTTTTTTTTTTTCATCAGATTGAAATAATCTCTGTCATTTTGCTAGTACACTTTCTTTGGCTTTCTCTATGAATCCTTGTCTCTCAAGGTTTCCTTTTTTTTTTTTTTTTCCACTTGGCACACTTTTTCCTTTGTTTGACTGCTTTAACTGCTATTACAAACCTTTAACTAAACTCTAGTTCCAAGGGATCTAACACCCACTTCTGGCCTCTGTAGGCACTGTAGGACATGGATGCACTTAGCATACAAATAGGCAAAACACTCATACACATAAAACAAAATTTAATTTAATTTAATTAAAAAATAAAAATCTTTTAAAGAAAAGAAAAGAGACAGGGTGTGGTGGCACACACCTTCAATCTCAGCACTCAGGAGGCAGAGACAGATGGAACTCTGTGAGATCAAGGCCAGCCTGGTTTTTACGCAGCAATTTCCAGACCAGCTGGGACTATAGGAAGACCATCTCAAAGAAACAAATCAAAACACACAAAAGTAAGAATACTGCCGAGACTGCAGCTCAGTGGTGAAGTGCTTATTTAGTATGTGAGAGGTCCTGGGTTCAATTCTCTGTGACACCGTGGTGGAGTGCTTACTTAGCATGTGAGGGGTCCTGGGTTCAGTTCTTAGTGATACCAAAATCAAAATGAATAGAACATCATTCTCTAATTTTTCATTTGTATAGTATTTTATCTGTAATAATCAAGAGAGCACAGAACTTTTAGAAAAATATGTATAAAACTATTTACAGTGGGACCTTGGCCAAGACCTGTTTTACATGGAATCAGATTGGCAAGACTTTCTTGAATATGAAAAGTCTGAAACTTCACTAGGCTTTAGTTGTCAGTGTAGAGCCATTGCATCAATATGCCTTATCTAAATTCACATCATTTCTATACTTCCTTACAGATATTCCTAAAACAAGAAATTTATGTGTTTGCTTTCTTCTAAAAATATGGATTTTATAACTTTCAAAAAATACATAGTTTTTAAAAACTATAATTTTTTATGTGTATGAGTGTTGTGCCTGCATGTATATAAGTGCACCTGTGTTGTGGAGGCCAGAAGAGGGTGATGGATACTCTGGAACTAGGGTTACAGACAGTTATTTGTTGCTGGATGCGAACCTGGGTCTTCTGCAAGAGCAGCCAGTTCTCTAAACAACTGAGCCATTTCTCCAGCCCTACTTTTATGGCTTTTTTAAAAATTAATTTTTAAAAATTTTATGCGTATGAGTGTATTGCCTTCATGCGTGTAAGTGCACCCATGTCATGCAATGCCCAGGGAGCTCAGAAGAAGGTGTTGAATTCCCTGGAACTGGAGTTATGGACAGTTGTTAGCTGGCTGGGAATTGAACCCAGGTCCTCTGTAAGAGCAGCCAGTGCTCTTAACTGCTGAGCCATCTCTCCAGCCCAATTTTATAATTTTTTTTCATATGTTAAATCACTTATTCCTGTATAACCCTGCAAATATGTTTCTTCACCCAATATTAAAAATAATTTATTGAGAATTTGATACATGCATATAAGGTGTTTTATTCAAATCCATGCCAACTCCCTCCCCTCCAACTCCTCCCATATCTTCCCATCACTTTTTTCTGATAAATTCATGTACTCTTCTTTTTTTTTTTTAATGGGGCCTTTTGCTACTCTAACATTCCCCCCTCTGAAAAGGTAGCCCTAAAATATTTTAAGGATTAGATAAGCGCTCCTAAATACTTTGGACATTTTTGGCCTTTGGAACAGAGTATGTTGCTAAGAGGCCCAAGGACATTTTGACTTTTAGCCAAGAAACTGGCTACCTTTCCTTTGGGTCTTTTTACCCTAACTGCCTAGCCAATTCCTAGCTCCTAATCATATCACGCCATCCTCTAAAGAGGTTACCCAACTTGCAGATAGGGAATCTGGATGCAGACTGCTCTGGCTTCTTCAATGTGGACCGGGAACACAAGGTGAAGCAAGGGTACCCTTTCAGTGGGTCTACCTAAAAGACTCCCAAATTACATAACTCTTATCTGTAAGTGGAAAAGAAAGTCCTTAACTGGTGAATAGGAGATATAAAGGAGAAGTAAAGGCAAGAGTAATTAGCATTACAAGTTCTAGACAGAGAACTAGAAAAAAGTCAGAACAGGGTAAATTTCAAATGTTCATATGAGAGTCCATTGGAGTTTCTTGACAAGGGCTTCTGAAAGCATCCCTCTGTTGGGTCCTCCTCATTTTTCTTTTGTCTGCCAAGGCTGGACTCAAGAGTGATGGATTCAGGATTTACTTTCAGGCACTTTGATAATTCTTGGAGCAGATGAAATCAATGTCAGTTCCTTCTCAAAGCCTTCACTATGTGGAGGCAGGATCCTGGCACTCTCAGGCTGAGTTCCTAGCCCCTATGCCAGGGGGAGGTGGGAACAGGCAGTCTCTGGCAGTCTGCTAAGATCTTGATTTTATAGATTTTTTAGTGTCTAAAGTTTTTTAATTAATTAATTAATTTATTTATTTATTTATTTTGGCCTTTTTGAGACAGGGTCTCCCTGTAGTCCCAGCTGTCCTGGAACTCACTATATAAACCAGACTGGCCTTGAACTCACAGAGATCCATCTGCCTCTGCCTCCCGAGTGCTAGGATTAAAGGCGTGTGCCACCATGCCTGGCTAAATTATTATTTATATTGTGTGTGTGAGTGTTTTGCCTGTGTGTATGTAAGTGTACATGTGTATGCAATGCCTGCAGAGACCAGAAGAGGGCATTGGAACTACAGTTAGGGACAGTTGTTAGTTGCCATGAGGGAGGTGAAAACTGAGCCTGGGTCCTTAGTAAGTACAGTCAGTGCTCTTAACTGCTGAGTCATGTCTCCAGCCCCTAATATTTAATTTTTTTTTATTTTGACTTAATTGAGGATTCATATTAAATTGTAAGAAATACTAGAGATCATAGGTATTTTTGTGGTTTCTCTCATTGGTAATATTTAAAAAATATAATGTACAACCTCAGACTTAAAACATTGGCATTGATACAGGCAAGATGTAGAAACATTTTATTACCACAAGGGATTTCATTATATAGGAGTAAGTTACTTCAAATAGAACAATGCCTAAAATTTCCTCTATTCATCTGCAGAGCAAAAACTTTCCAGGTTTTCAAAGTTGAAGATGCATTTCCCATTTCAAATCTGCCTTCCTCCAGTGAATGTAGCTGTAAAAAGTTCACCAATGATTGCATCTTTGTAGAACTACTTTTCTTACTTGTTCTGGTTTCCTTGTAAATGCTTATCTAGTAACTAGTTTCAATCAACATTTTGCTTCCTACTGTACTATGTAATATAATAAATGCACTTGAAATTTCTAGAATATTATTCTATCACTAAAAAGACAGTGGATTAAATGTGGTTTTAGAAATACCTTTAGACTTTATTCAGTTTAATCTTAAATGTAAATCACTATTGAATAATTTAGGCAACAATAAGGGTGAATAAATTAGATACTTGTCTGCTTCCAAAGAAAAAAATAAGTGAGTGCTCTCATTTGCTAAATATTTGACCTAAAATGTGAATCTACTTCTAGACCAAACTTCAGAAGTAAAAATTTAGAAGAACATTTTAACAAGTATTAAAAATATGGCTGAGCCTCTTCTTTCATGTGGTTTTGCACTTTAGTCTGGTACATAAGAAAGTGGTTGAGTCCCTGTCTTTCTGTTATAGATCTATAAATGAACATCAATTGTATTCCCAATTCATTTATATAAAAATCATATTTATGAAACTAAAACATCATTATTTTTCTGTTCCAAGGCTACAATATAGTCTTAGTATTATGTGTTATATCTGTATAATTAGATACAAGAAACAAATAAATGGTTATGTGATATTGAAAAAATGTTTTCCTTTTAACATATTGTTTTTATTTATAGATCTGGATGAATGTTCTATAAAGCCAAATGTTTGTGGAACGGCTCAGTGCAAAAATGTCCCAGGAGACTTTGAATGTGAATGTCCTGAAGGCTACAGATATGATCCCTCATCAAAATCTTGTGAAGGTAGAATATAGTGACTTCATTGCACATGGTGAACAGGGTGGGTTTGAACCCTGAGATGATATTTGAAAAAAAATCATTCCTTTTACTAATCCATTATATAGCTTGGTAAATTTGGTGACCAACCATTGACCATTATGTACTGGCTTCCTTCTGGTATAAAAGTATTATGTAAGACCCATGGTCATTATATGTAATATTACACATTCCATTTAGTATTTTAGGCTTTATAAAAACTGGAGATCTCTCTTTGTTATAAAAGGAAAACTAATGCTTTTTTGTATAGATAATATTAAAAGATACAGAATACTTGCATTTGAAGGGAAAAACCTACATAAAAAAGATTGACACAAGCATAAATTATGGGAGTGAAACTACAAGCCTTCTTAAAAGTATTAGGCTTTATTCCAAAGCTTTTCATTCATTTTCTGTACACATATAGTTCATTCTAAAATGTGAAGCAGGGACTGAAGAGATGGCTCAGCAGCACTTGCTGCTCTTGCAGACGACTTTGGTTTAGTTCACAACTTCCACTCTAGGTGGCTCAAAATTGCCTGTAACTTCAGTTGTATGGGATCAAACACCTTCTTCTGGTCTCTGTGGGCACCTGTATGCATGTGGTATACATGTATACCCTCAGGCATACATACACATGCACATTAAGTAAATAAACAAAATAAAATAAAAAGATAAATGACATTTTCTGTCATCATGGCTGATATAATAATGGAGCTCTAGAAAGCTGAAAATTACTGATCAATGATGTCAGCTCCTGGAGGAAGCTGCTGTCCCTTCTTAGGTTTCCATGGTGGTGGTATGGATGCCTCAGGTAGCTTAAAATCATTATATTTGTTTTTGGTTTTAGTTTTTCAAATAATTCGTGTACAAATTATCTCACATCTTTTAAAAATGTTTTAATATCTAAAAATGAAATTAATGTCATGTCTGAAACTAATCAAATCAACAGTAGAACATAATGAATGTCTTGTAACTAGTTTTAAGCAGAGAGCTCAGTGGTTCTAATTAATTCATAGTTTGTAGACCGCATTGTGTTACAACTATTTCCAAAACTTTTTCATTACCCCAAACAGAAACTCTGAGCTAGTCAATGGTATGCTCTCTCTCATTGGTTTACCTTATTACAGATGATCCCCGAAAACCCAAGAAGCTTTTCTGTCTCTTAATTTAAGTAAATGGATCAAGGATTGTTCCAGTTTGTTTAGTTGTGCTAAAACACCATGACCAAAAAGCAGCTTGGGGAAGGAAAGTGTCTCTTTGAAGGAAGTCAGACAGGAACTGAAGCAGAGACCTCAGAGGAATGTTTAGTAGTTTCTTCTCTTGACTTGCTCAGCTACCTTTCCTATATAAGCCAGGTACTCCTACCTAGGGATAGTATCACCCAAAGTGGGCTGAGCCCTCCTACCTACATTAGTAATCATGAAAATGCCCCACAGACATAGAGAAAATTCTTCAGCTGAGGTTCCTCTTTTCTGAGTACCACTAGTTTGTGTCAAGTTGACAAAAATGAATCATTATAGTGATTTTATAGTAGACTTTTTATTATTATTTAAGATTCTTTTGAAACTTTGTTGTTTTACTTCTACCCCAAACATCCCCTGTATCGTTTTCTAGTCTCCTATTCCTTCTCATTGAAATTATTATAGGGAACTCCAGGAATTTGCAGATTTATTGAAACAGAAAAACAGATCTTTGAATGTGACAGAGGTTTTCCGGGCTCAGATAGACTTAACTTGGGAGTTAGTCTTCTGGAAGCTCACAGTTACACAGGTCCTCCATCAGTCATGGCTCCAGGTCCTATCATATGAGTTCAAAGAATGAGTTTCACAGACCAGAGGGAGGGTATGTTTTTGAAAGGAGTTTATTAAAGACTCTTAGGTAGGCATTTAAGAGAAAGAAAGCAAGATGAGCTTCTGTAGAGCAGGAGCAGACCCAGAGATGGCTACCACTGGACTGCTAATTTAGGGTCTTTTTATAGGACTTATGCAGAAACTATGTTGGGGAACAGGTAGTGAGCTTGTCAATCCATTTGACCCACCCAGGAAGTGACCCTAAGCCTCTCCACTACAGGTGTCTGAACTAGTTTTGGTCACATGTATAGCTTCTAGGCAGTTGTGTAAAAGGAGAAGAAAGATAAGAAGAAATCATACTGGCAACTGGGTCTCCAAATACTTCTGACATTTCTGCCCTCCAATCAAGATAAACCCAGGATATTTCTAGTTTCTGGTCAAGGACAGGAATCAAGGTCCCTGTTCCTAAACTGCCTTACCAGTTCCTATCTTCTGTACTCACCATTATTACTAGCTATTTTTAGTGACTATATTATAGCTTTATTTGCTAAGTGACAGAGTTTTAAAAAAGATTTGTACTTGAATACATGTATATCTTAGTTAATCCTATATTATACAATTTTAATGCATTCAAAGAATCACTTACTTTGGGAATATATTATAAAGTACTTTATAATAACATTACATGATAGCATTTATGATTTTAGAAATTTTCAAAGATTGTAGCGTGTATCCAATGAAAATGTCAAGGATGTTATATAGTCCTGAAGTAGACTGTAGCCTTTAGCTTGACATATTATTACAAAGTGTAGCTTGGAGAAAGAGATCAGTTAGAAGATTCCAAAATATGGATGGTAATACCACAGTGAGGTTTTGCTTTGTCTGAGACAGGGTCTCACTGTGTAGCCCCAGCTGGCTTGGAACTCACTATATAGACCAGGCTGGCCTTGAACCCACAGAGATTTGCCTGCCTTTGTGTCCCAAGAGCTGGCAGTAAAGGCATGTGCCTCCATACCCAGCCCACAGTGAGATTTTGAAAAAACAAATAACATTAATATGTCTTTAACTTTTTTAGCACTGTCAATTATTGCATTATGAGAAATCAGATGTTTTTGATATTCTCATTTCATCCATTGCATTAGCTTTGAGTTTGGTGAAACTCATTTTTTAATTCCCTGTCTTTCACTGTCTTTTCTTCCTTATCTTCACTTGTATTCCATTTCCCTTTATAATTTCTTCTCTTTTACCTTATTTCTCTATTGTCAAAGCAAAGAATTGGGAGGTAATTTTAATGAAATTCATGTAATCAGAGATGACAGTTGAGACCCTAAATCATTTTCTTCAAGTTGAAAATCTGAAAATTAGAATAATTATTACACTATTATTAATCACTGCAAATTATAAAATTAGTTAAAGTGTATAAATAAGAATTGCACTTGTAGCTCCTTTAAATTTCTAGGTCACATGTTTAGATATGCTGTCATGGGGTTTCTTCTCCTAAGGAATGAGTCCTATGCCTTTTGGATTGAGCATTTTGAAGCTATGAAGTTTTATCCTTTCTTAACCTCAGATGTGGATGAATGCTCTGAGAACATATGTGACCAACTTTGTGTCAATCATCCCGGACACTACTCTTGTTACTGTGATGGGAAGAAAGGATTCAAACTTTCCACAGATGAGAAGAGTTGTGAGGTAAACTTTTTTTTTTTTTTTTTTTTTGGTCTTGTTGAGACAGGGTTTCCCTATAGCCCCCAGCTGTCCTGGAACTCACTGTGTAGACCAGGCTGGCCTTGAACTTACAGAGATCCGCCTGCCTCTGCCTCCCGAGTGCTGGGATTAAAGGCGTGCACCACCACGCCCAGCCAGAGGTAAACATTTTTAAAATGAAAAACTCTTCCTTTCTGAAATGAGATTCAGTTGTTGCCAGGATCCCCCTCTTCCACCTTGCAATTCTCATTCAAAGAATTCAGTTGAGATTTAGAGTGCAATATAGAAGATAATTTATACAAAATGGGAAAGCACACTCCGAGAGCAAGAGTGGACAATAGTCAGACAGAACATTGTTCTTTATTTACACCTTAGTCATATTTTTTGGTTGTTGTTTATTTTGTTTTGTTTTGAGACAATATGTCCTTGTAGCCTGGAACTTGTTATATAGACCAGGCTTGCCTCCACCTCACAGAGATCCATTTGTCTCTATCTCCTGACTGAGGAGTGAGTGCTGGAATTAAAGGCATGAACCACCACCCTGACTAGTCTTTTTTTAAATGATTTATAAAACCTCTGGAGCAGACTGCTTTCCTGAGGTCCATTTTCCTGCCCAGGTAATTGAGAGTCCCGTTGGTGTGACTGTCACTTGAGGAGGCACTGGTAAGCCTTTGTTCTTTATCAGAAAGCCTCCAGCTAGAAAATAATCTTGGAAGGCTTAGGATTCTGGAACCAGGCTTAGGTAGTTAATCAAGTAATGGCCTCCCTGCAATTTGGGATCTCTTCCCAGGGTCAGAGATAGGACCCAGGTCCTGCTCCTCAGGCCAGTAATTAGAATCCTGCAGTTCCAGTCCTTGGTTTCACAAGCTTCTGATTATGAAGGAGGGGTCCATGTCCAATGTCTAATCCTTCTCACACCCAATTATCTGTCTGGATTGGTATTTATTTCCATAAAGCAGAAGTAAGCCAAGAATATGCAGATTTTCTATAATAATTGCCATAGTCGACACAGGCTACAATTCACAATCAGTTTACTAGCCATGGTCATGTAAGTTGTAAACACTGAGGAAATGTTGTGGTTGAGGGGACCTGGGAAATGACTCAGTGAGTAAAGGTGATTGGTACCAAGCCTAAAGACCCAATCTCAATCCCTGAACCTCATGTGATGGAAGGAGATAACCAGCTCCCACAGTTGTCTTCACTTCCACATATGCACTGTGGCACATATGTGCCCACACACATCTGCATGCACACACACGAACACACACAAAAATAGATAAATAAATTAATTAATCAATAAATGTGTTTTTTAAAAATTAAGGACTTAGTAGTTAAGAGCACTATCTGCTCTTGCAGAAGACCTGGGTTCTGTTCCCAGCACCAACATGGTGGTTAACAACCATCTGTAACTCCAGTTCCAGTAAATTCAATGCCCTGTTCTGACCTCTCTGGGCATTGCATGATATGGGTGCACTTATATACATGCAGGTAATACACTGATACACATAAATTAAAATAAAATAAAAATGTGGCTAGTTAAAAATAAAAAGGCAGGATTACATTTCAGAGAATACTTATCTATAGTGCTCACATTTACAGAATGCAAAGCATAAATTTATTGAAGATTCCAAGAAAAACTGGCATTATTAATACTGCTCTTTGAGTAAAAAGTATATTTCATAGTAAATTGCATAGAAATTTCAATGAAAACATTTCCACTGTCTCTCTGTTATATTCTGGCAAGTTTGCCCAAAGCATGTTTGTACTTGTAAAAGTTCACAAATTTTCCATGGAAACAACTTTGTCACAATAGGATTTAGTGAGTTTAGATATATCAAATTTCAGAAACCTATACTATTCATCTGTATGTCTCAGAAATGCTTTTCAGCATCCAAAATTCAATGGTAATTGACCCAGGAATTCAATGTTGAAGCAAAGTTTTAATTTTTCCTCCACTGAATAAATAAGTGAACACCTGACCCACCCCATCCCTCTTTTAGAAATAATAAGATCATATGTGACCTTCCCATTTTTGCATCTTTGATTTTAAACACATAAAGGTGAAATTATGTATGATTATGATGCAAGCTATTTAAAATTCCTAAGTAATGATATCACTGTGTGGACACATAACTAAGTATGTATGTTAACAATATGAATCAGTACATGCCTAGAAAAGCACAACAGTCATGCTACCCCCAGGTGAAGAAAGATCAGAAAGTTAGCACAGGTAACAATTCTGGGGTGACTTAATTGGAAGGTCATGCTGTGGGAATATCTTCTTTTATAATTTAGTCCTTTATTATTTTGGATATGTTCTATCATGCATATTACTATCTACCTTGGACTTGTTATGCAATGATTTTTTTTCTATTTAATACTGTGTGTAATTCATCTCAAAGTGTCCTTATCTGAAGCCAAGAACTTATCCCTAGACAACTTGCCACTTTAATGTTCATTTTCACTTTTAAGAAACAAATAGTTGTAAAGAGATGGTATGACTTTGAATTATTTTCATGTAATTTTTTAGAGATTGAGATGATAATTTATTCCTCAAGACCTGTCAGAATTCCACTTAGTGTCTATATAACACATTCTTGCTCACAACATTTTTTCTTGATATATGAATGAATAATTTCCAGATATTTTCATGGGAGGCATTGTACAGTTTATTGAAGATAAATATACTTGAAGTAAAAGGTTATATTTTGTACTGAGTTATCTGAAGAAAATAGTAAAAACAAAATTGAAAGCCACAAATACTGAAACTTTAAAACACACATATTTTGGAGGTTGTATGAATGGGTTTTACAAAGAAGTGACAGATATTGCTGTTTTATTTCCAAAGATATTTGAAATACAATTTCAGTGTATTTCAGAGGGAACATTAGAAGCTAAAGAAAGGAGCAACAACCTGACAAACACCAGGCAAATAACCTTTGCACTTTGTTTCCTTCTCTCCAGGATATTCCAGTGTGCCTTCCCTTGGACCTTGACAAAAATTATGAATTACTTTACTTGGCTGAGCAGTTTGCAGGAGTTGTTTTATATTTAAGTTTTCGTTTGCCAGAAATCACCAGGTGAGGAACTAATGTTAGTGGGAATTCCTAGAGGTCATGTGGGCAAGGACAGAAGAGGACACTGACAGGTATGGATTTGTGTTCTCAGATAACTTAGGTCTATCAACAATTCCTTCACACATGCAATTTTCATAATACAGCCTTTTCAAGTGAATCAAGGCTGACCTTCCAAATGTGAATTTATTTATTCTACCTCATCATTTTCCATTTCCCCGTGAGAACATATTTACTAAGGAGCTGGGAAAGGAAATCTAATGTATGTGAAATTTTCACTGTTCTTTTATGCATCATAAAAAAGTAAGCGATAGTACCCAATGTATTGCTGGAGTATTGTTATATTAAAAGTTAATAAGGAAAATTAATAAGAATGCTTAAGTAGCATTTTGAAGAAATGTTTACTTAATTCAGCAATCTGAATACTTTATCTGTTACTCCTGTAGTTAGACTGACTAGTGAATGTGTAATTGTTTGCATTTTACAGTTATATTTTATTGTGTCACATTTTCTCAAAGCATACATTCTAGAAAGTAGAAGCAATAAATAGTAACATTTTTGTAATCATGGGAAGGAAATACATTTGAAGCTATTCAATAGCTAAACAATTAAACTAAATTTATAGAATTTTTTTCATGACAGAGCATTGAATGTTTTTCTAAAATTTATTTACATGTGTTCCTTGAGCATTCTGCTTACCTCCATCTCTGGTTTTGCACATGCACATCTCAAAGTAAATGCTCTTTTATAATGAATTATATTAGATTCGGTCCTTACCTATAAGAATAATAGTAATGAGAGAGAAAAATGTTAAAATGTGTG